AGAGAAAGTTCAACAGGAAAACTTCCTCTGAGCCTGAGGACTCCCCTGCCAGGGGACTGCCTGTGTGTCTTTCTCAGTCCCTATCCCTGGCGAGTGGTGAGCTGCATGCATTCCAGTTTGTTCTCTCTCTAGGCAGCATCTTTATTCACTTCCTTTGTAGCACTTTAGCACATTAGGACCAGAAACGGCCTGGCCAGTCACCCCAAGTGCTCTCTGCCTGAAAGACGAAGAGACGAGTGACACGCTTAGTGCCAGCAGCAGGGGCGGAGCTGGGCCCCGTGTCCAAGCTACTAGTGCAGTCTTTCCCACGGGTCAGCCACCCGATCCTGGCACGGGAGCCTCAGTTGGCCTCTGGCTGTCTCCCTGGTGTCTGTGCCCATTACAGATGTGCCTCCTGCCACCACAGCTGTGAGCGCCCCCGGGCCAAGGGCAGGTTCATGCGGACCTGCACAGACTGGCCCAGAGCACCAGGAGGAGATGCAGGGAACGAACGTGTGTTCAGTAAATGACTAAAGGACTGTTCTGGTGCTGGTGCCGTGTAGGCATTTCCCACTGGAGTACCATCCTCCACCCCCACCACTTTGTTTGTAGGCGCAGAGCCTGAACACTCCGTGCCTCTGTTACTCCCAGGCCAGGTCCTGAAAACCTATGAAAGATCAGCAGGATCCCGCGGGTGGGGTGAGGCTCTAGACCAGTGATGGCGAACCTATGACACGCGTGTCAGAGGTGACACACAAACTCATTTTTTTGGTTGATTTTTCTTTGTTAAATGGCATTTAAATATATAACATAAATATCAAAAATATACATCTTTGTTTTACTGTGGTTGCAAAGATAAAAAAATTTCTATATGTGACACGGCACCAGAGTTAAGTTAGGGTTTTTCAAAATGCTGACACGCCGAGCTCAAAAGGTTCGCCATCACTGCTCTAGTACTTACAGATGAAATCATGGGGAGGGTAAGGTTTTTAATTTGTGTATGACATGTGTTTGGGAGCTTTCACCTTTGTTTACGATCATGATGAAAGGCCCTGGTGCAGCTGGGTGCCTGGTTCTCGTGCATTCCTAGATGGGTTTCCACCCATGTTCTGGGTAGCTGACTTCTGAGTCACGCTGGGATTCTGGCATGAGAAGTAGGACATGTGAGACCCAATCTTTGAAAACCAGAAGGTGACAAAAATGTCTGGAAAGATACTTTCTTCTGGTGATGGTTCCCCTTCCCTCCCCCGCTTTTTTGAAGGTAGACACTACTTTGAGCCGAGCAATGTGTGGGAGGTTTGGGTACAGCCCCGGCACATTAGATAAATAATTTTGTCAAAGGAGTTCGAACACAGGCTGTGGTTTTGAAATACACATTCACCTGTGAATCTGCTCACGAATGATAGGCTGTTGATCAGCAACATCTGTTGATTTGAGAAAAGCAGGGTTTGCGTTACGGAAGCTGGAGGTATAGTTCTGTGATGGTCTTTCCCCGGGTGGGTCTTCCTTCCAGAGGAGATGGTCTAGTTCAGGGGTCCTCAAACTTTTTAAACAGGGGGCCAGTTCACTGTCCCTCAGACTGTTGGAGGGCCGGACTATAGTTTAAAAAAAAACTATGAACAAATTCCTATGCACACTGCACATATCTTATTTTGAAGTAAAAAAACAAAACGGGAGCAAATACAATATTTGTATTTGCATGTGGCCTGCGGGCCGTAGTTTGAGGACCCCTGGCCTAGTTAGCTTCCTCTCAATGGTGCCCACTGTCTAAGGCAGCGGTTCTCAACCTGTGGGTCACGACTCCTTTGGCGGTCGAACGACCCTTTCACAGGGGTCGCCTAAGACCGTCCTGCATATCAGATATTTACATTACAATTCATAACAGTAGCAACATTACAGTTATGAAGTAGCAACGAAAATAATTTTATGGTTGGTCACAACATGAGGAACTGTATTTAAAGGGCCAGAAGGTTGAGAACCACTGGTCTAAGGTGAGATTCGTGGCCTTCGGGAGGTCACTGTGTGAGAACACAACTGTTTTGGCAGGAGGGAATGCATAACAGTACTTTTTAAATTTTTAAAATTGATTTTAAAGAGAGAAGAAGGGGAAGAGAAGCGTGAATTTGTTGTTCTACTTACTCATGCGTTCACTGATGCTTCTTGTCTGTGCCCTAACGAGATGGCACTGCAGCCTGGTGTGCGGGGACAGCGCTCTGACCAAGCGAGCTGCCTGTCAGGGCTCTACGTGACTGTTTAACGTGTGCTTTTTTAGGTGACTTACTATTTGCCACTTTGAAAGTAGGATATGTGAACGAAAAAGTTAGGAAAATACAGTAAGGAAGATACTGAAAGAGACCATTATTACTCATATTTCCCAAATGCAGGGAAATGTAAACATTTTTGGTCAACTTAGTTAACATTTCCCTTTGATGACTTTTAAAAAAAGTGTCCGTGTGAAGTAGGTGCAGTTCCAGCCTGTCACAGAGCTGTGCTCAGGGCTGACATGCTTAGAAACCAGAAGAGTGAGGACGGGGCTCGGGGGTCCCAGCCCTGCCCTGCCCTGTGCAGGACGGAAACGGATCTTTCAGATGGACCTGCCCTCGGGCAGCGGGCCATTCAAACTAGAGTGGGGAGAAGCCCCCACAACACTTAGCTTCGCTCTAAGGAAACTGTGTGTGTGGTTTTGATAACTAGGATGAGAAATTCAGGAAGAATTAGTTTTAAGCCTGAAAACGAAGTCTGAATTAATAGGTCTTGGAAGTTTTAGGGACGATTTGACATGAGTTAGAGGTTTCGGAATTGCTGGGGTTTGTGGCCAATGGGAGACGACTGCCTTGCTCATTGGGATTGGATTCAGAGGTGAGCCAAGGGAAGGCCTGTGTCTGGGAACCCCAGGGCAGTGGGATGTGGTGCCTGGTCCTGGGCCACCAGGAGGGTCCTTCGGATAAGATGTGGCCAGGGCCCCGCCTCCGCCATCGCATGTCCCTGATGTCCTCCCTCCCTGGGGTCTGTGGACCTTGGAGGGTGCTTCTCCCTGGACGTGACAGTGTGCCTGTGTGTGTTGGGGGTGGGCCAGGGGCTGCCGAGTTGTTGAGAGCTGGCACCAGCTGCATTTGATCTCTGATTGCACGGTCTCTTCCCAGTCCTGACATTGGAGAACGTCGTGGGGGGCTCATCCTTGTTTATTATAGTCATCAAGTGAGGGAGAGCCCAGAGGAGGCCTGGGGTGTGAAATGGCACCAGGTGTTGGGCTGGGCTTGCCTTCCTACCTCACTGCCGTCTCTTCAAGGGGATGGTCACCTTCTAAAAACCTTGGTTTTAGCTTGGTGTAGGCGGTCCACTTGTGTCTGAGCGGTGCCCTCACAGTCAGAGGCCAAGAGCTTGGGGAGGCAGTACGGAGTGGTGGGCAGACAAGGCCAGGATCAGGCCCAAGGCCACCCTCCAGAAGCTGAACGACTTTGGCTGTTGGTTAAGCTCTCTGGCTTTGGTTTTCTCCTTTAGAATTGGGGGCAGTAATCTCCATGTCATCCAGTTGTTTATAAAGGTTAAAAGGAGATGAGAGTGAAAGCACCCAGCCCCGTGGCCCTGTGCAGGTGGAGGTGTTCCTGGGGCAGGGTATGGTGGGTCAGCTCGGCTCCCCAAGGCTCCTGTGCACCAGGGGGTTTCTCTGGCTGTCACTACAATTCTCCTTTCAAATAAAAGCAGCTGGGCCCTGCGGAGGGGCAGCGCTGATCCCGCAGGAATCCTGGGCTGACTGGGCTGCTCCCTGCAAAGGGCAGGTGGGCCTGAGCCCGCCTGCCATCTTCAGAAGCCCTGGAGTTCTGGTCGGTCCTGGTGTGCTCTTACCGGACCGCCAGCATGTGCTTCTGCTCACTCGTGTGAAGGGAAGAGGGACCCACGGTGTCTGTGACCTCCTCTCCCTCCTGTGGCCCACGCCCTGCGTCCAGGTGTAACCTCCTCCTCAGCCTCCACGTGTTTGTTCATGCAGGTCCCCTGCCTGCAGTGCCTGCCTCCCACGCCCTCTCCTCTCTGGCTTCTGTCTTATCTCTGAGACTCTTAGCAGAACTCAGCTCAGCCCTGCCCTGTCCAGAGTGTGCCTTCTCTGGGGTGTCCTGCTGTTCCTTCCCTTTTTGTGGTTTTTCTTCAGCCCCAGTTTGTAACAGGGCCTTATCCAACCCCTCCCAGCACACAGCCCCCTAGCAGACCTTAAGAATACTTGGGTGATTGACAGCACTCCGCACCCTGGGAGGTACCACTGGGTACAGTGACTTTCAGCCTCTTTGGCCCTGACCTGCGTTAAGAAACACGTTTTAGACGGACTCGGTAGAGAAAAGAGACAGAGGAGCTCACGTGTACACACGAGGGAAACAAGTTTCCTAAGACAGTCCTTCCCATAGGACCCCTGACGCTTTCTCTTCTGTTCACGTCATGTCGTTGCATTTTAATGCTGGTTAGGATTTTCCAGATGGATTGCACTGTGGTCTGGACTGTGGTTTGAAAACACTGGCTTGCTCAGTAGTTGAGTCTGAGAAGGAGGCTGGGCGCTGGCTGCCCTGTGGTCTGTGGGTGTCTGTCAGAGGCCTCACCGGGCAGAGCGAGCGCAGCTGGGCAGGGGCAGGCAGCCCTGTTTGGGAACTGCTTTGGGAACAGGTGCTCCCTCCCCGCCTACAGTTTGGTCCAGAGGAAAGAGCCTTGGACTAAGTCAGTACACCTGGTTCAAGTTCTGGTTCTGCCGCTTGGTGGCAGGAGACTTCAGCAAGTCACTTACCTCTCTAGGTCTCCTAGGTGCACAGCCGGCCCCTGGGGCCTTGCATGCTGCTCAGGGCTGCCGTGCAGGGAGTGGCCAGAGCAGACCTTGAGCCCTGGGCCCTTCCTCTCTTTGCTCTGTCAGCCCGGGTCAAAAGGGAGGTCAGTGCAAACCAGTTACCCTCTGCCCAGGATCACGGGGAGTTGATCAGTGTGAGTGTGACCCTGTTTGAGGTGTGGTGTCCCCCTGCCTGACGTGGCCTGCTCTCTTCCAGCCCTGAAGGATGGCTTCCATTATGGGGGATGCGATCATGGTGCTCAAAGGCCTTGCCAAGCTGACGGAGGCAGCCGTGGAAACCCACCTGCAGCACTTCGGCCTTGGTGCGGAGTTCATCATGGCAGCCCGGGCCCTGCAGTCCACAGCTGCAGAGCAGTTCAGCATGGTCCTGGGGACGGTGCAGGTAAGGAGGCTGGGCCAGCAGGGGTGCCAGTGGGAGGGAAGCTGGACTTGGAGCTCTTGGTGAGACTAGGACACAGCTAGGGTGGCTGGTCTCCCTGTGGCCAGGGCCAGAGAGCCCACTGGTTAGTGTAGCCCACTACCCTTCCGGGTGGGATAGGGCCCCTGGGAGAGGCTGCTGGGTGACTCACGCCTTAGTTAGAGGAAGCTTCACAGAGCTGAGAGGAGCCCCAGGAGCAAGCGGCCCAGCCCACGCGTTCGACTAGGAGTTCCCTGGCTGATCAGGCACGGGTGCCGAGCTCAGGGAGACCAAGCCCCGTCCGCGGGGATCGCGGTGACCGGCCCCGTTCCCTCTGCCCAGTCTGTGTTCAGTTTCTGGCCTGTGTTGAGGTATTGAAGAGAAGCCTTTTTAGTTTTGGGAATTTAAAAAACCACAGGAAAAAGTAACACTTGCTGTGTTCTGTGGAGGCAGCTGGAAGGAACTGGCATGTGGCCGTCACTGAGCAGTTTTTAAAGGGGAAGAACCCTTCTCCCTGTGTTAACGAGTGTTTTCTGTTGGGCTGATTTCTGTAAAGAAGTGATGGAAGCCACCTGCTGTCAGAGCTCCACTGGGCAGAGCAAGGGCCGCTGGGCAGGGGCGGCCGGGCTGGGAAGCGTGTTCCATTGCTGTCGCCTCCGCATGGAGCTGCCACAGGAGGCTGTGTCCGTTGGGCTTCCTCAGGCTTTTCCCACTTGCCCGCTGCATTTTTCTGTGGGTCTCTGGGTGCTGATGTGTTGCTTTCCTGAGTGAAAGCTGAGGACCGCTCTGCCTCTCGTCTTCCTCTCGTCTTTCCTGCTGTCTTTTGTGCCACAGACCAGAGAGCCTCTGCTTTACCACCGCGGGAAGGTTTTAGGTAGAAGTGCGTGCAGGACAGGCGATTATAACAGGGCTTGATGGAGCAGAGGGCTGTCCGCCGAGGTGTCCCCAGTGACTGTTTCTGAAAGTCCTGGGGGAGGGGAAGCTGTGCACCCGTGTGCGTGAGCACACCTGCTCCCTCTCCTTCCGTTTCCCCTGTGGTCGCTGACCTTGTGGACAAAGGACACTCAGGCTCCGCCAGGCTGAGGCCATCACAGCCTGAGGCTTCTGGTTAGTCTTAGGTCCCGGATCCCCCTCTGCTGCTCTCGAAGGGTTCCTTGGCGCCACGTGGCTATTTCTCACCCCAAATGCCTTTAACTTCACAAGTCTCACACTCGTGACCTCACCGGAGCCTCACTGCTGGCCTGGAAAGGGGCAGGCCTCGATGTGTACCCCTTTCTCAGGTGGGGAGATGGAGACTAAGAAGTTGGATGCGAGGCCCGTGATTTTTAAGCAGGACAGGATCAGGTCCGTGTGTCCTCTTCCCAGCATATGACTCCCTGACCCGCCCTCCTCTGTGAGGCTGGGCTGTGGCTCCGGCCCCCGAGTGCCTTTCCTAGTGAGGAGAGCACCTTCCTGTTGGATGTGGTGCCTGTGGAACACTCAGGAGGTGCAGTTGTCCAGCTCACTGGGCCTCCCAGGCGTGCGGCAGCGGGGAGACCCGACAGGCCTCCCTGGGAGGGGAGGGGCCTCCTGCCCAGGCTCCCACCCGCTCCTCTGTCTCCTCAGGCAGGGCCATCCACCAGGACAGTCACTTGGAGGGAGGAGGGAGGGGCCATTGCCCACCATGAGGTGGACATTAGCGGGCGCTGGCCTCCGTGTGCTCCATTCTCTCCCTCAGCACGTAGGCCCTGTGCCTCCCTTCTCTCTGGGGATGGAGGCCAGATCCTCCGGAAACCTCTCCCTCCAGCTCCTCCAGGGGCTTGTTCACATCTTCATGCAGCAGACACCAGGTCTGGTCCCATCGACACACTGGGCCCTTCCCTGCCCAGAGGCCCAGAGCCACATAAGCCGGTCATGGCCATGCAGGGCCAGGCGGCCACACAGAGTCAGGGGCAACAGGGGCTCTGCTGTGGCTCTCAGGGACCTGCCTCAGGCCCCGCACCCAGGGCTGCCTGGCCATCTTGAGAGGTACCCAGAGAGGTACCCAGAGAACCCAATACGATTGATTTCTGCTCTGAGGCATGGCCGGCTGGTGGCCTTTACCGGGTCACCTCAGTCCCTCAGCCTGTTTCCATTTGGGCATGAGAGTCACAGCCTCATCTCCTTCCGTCCCTGGAGGCAGTAGCCTGTAGAGCTGAGGGTGCGCAGGCTGTGGACCGACTCCGTGTGGGCAGAGCCGCGGGCAGCACTGTGCACTGAGTCCATTTCAGTGGAACGGAACCCGGGCTCCTGACCTCCCTCAGGAGTCAGTGCTGTTCCACTTAGAGCCTCCTCGGCGCTGTTCCCCTGGCCTGTCTGTGCCTTGTCTGTGGCCCCACAAAACTGACTGTGGGGAGTCCTATTTTCAGATGAGGAAGTAGCAGAGAGCTCACCCAAGGTCACTCCGAGTTCTAAAGCAGAAGGAATCTGGGCCTGAAGATCAGGTCTTTTCAGTTGTTACAAGGAAAGTATGTGCCCCCAACTCCCAAGGACAGGCAGGCCAGACCTGGTTGTGCCAAGTCGTCCAGTGAGAGAGCCTCTTAAAGGCAGGCCGTGGCCGGTGAGGGGAGCCGTGTCTGGCGAGGCACTGGCCTGGAGTGGTGGGGTGTCCCCGTCTGTACACTGCCCTTGCCCTCGCTGGTCTGTGTTATGCTTTGACTTCTCAAGGTCTCCTGTCTCTTTCCCTGGATTACCCACCCCAGAGCCCTGGAGGCCTGTCCTTAGCCCCGATTAATAGAGGAGGAACTTGCTGGGAGTGGTGGTAACGGGCCTGGGCCTGGCTGGACACCCAGCAGGTTCTCAGTGACCGCACAGCAGAGCCCTGGCAGCAGCAGGACTGGGATCCGGGTCTCACCTCCAGAACTGACACAGGCCTCGGGAGTAATGTGGTGTCACCCTCTGCAGGACGGAGGCGGGGCAGCGGGGACGTGCTGTCCTGTGCAGAGGGGGATGGGCACAGGAGGGCGGCTACTGCTTGCTCCTCTCACGCTGGCTTTTGTTCCCTGCAGGAGCAGGACAAGCATGAAGAATCTTACATGTCGGAGAGCTTTGACGACCCAGAATCAGAGTTCCACTTCTCAGGGCCAAGGGCCGAGGGCGCCTCTGCAGACTTCTCTGCAGCCTCCTCCCAGGACCAGCCGTTGTCTCCACCCCAGGATTATGCCAGCAGCAAGGGCCCAGCTCCTGCCTACGCTGACAGTGGACCCTTTAGGGAAGCTGGGCTCCCAGGGCAGACTGCCTCTCCTCTGGGCAGGCGGGACGGGAGGCTTTTTGTAGATAGCAGAGCCCCCTTCTGTCCCACTGGCCTGCAGCGAAGGTTCTTCCACCAGGACCAGTCCCCTGTGGGGGGCCTTACAGCCGAGGACATTGAGAAGGCCCGGCAGGCCAAGGCGCGCCCCGAGAGCAAGCCCCACAAGCAGATGGTGCGTCCGGGAGGGCCCCTGGAGTGGGCCCTGTGGGTGGTTCCCCGGTGGTGCTGGTGTCAGGCCCCTCCGGGGATGCTGTGGTCTGGAGGCTTTGGGAACATGGAGGCCTCTTGGTGGTGGAGGTGCTGCCGGCAGAACTGCTGTCTTTGGTGGTGGAGAGGGGATGGGGGCAGCATGAGCCCCTGAAGGCCGCCCTGTCCCCATTCGCTGTCCCTGAGGGCTCTCTCTGCTGTCCCTCTAGCTCAGTGAGCGGGCTCGGGAGCGGAAGGTGCCAGTAACAAGGATTGGGCGGCTGGCCAACTTCGGAGGTAAGGCGGCTGTGTGTCTGTGCCCTCCCCTGCCCTGGCAGGCCAGTCCTGGCTGAGGGGGGCTGGCCTACCCTGGCCCCAGCATGGAGGTGGCAGAGGGCGGGGCCCACAGGTATCCTGGGGAAGTAGTACGGGCTCCTGGATGTTTCCCAGGGGTGGATGATTCAGTTATTGGGATCCACTGTGCCTAAGCTCACCCTAGGGGTTGGTGTGGCTGATGCCACACGGTGAGCTGCAGCTTTGCTTCTCAGGCCACGCTTGGGGTTCAGTGTCTGCAGCTTCAGCTTCTCCTACTACCTCGGCCTCCCCGCCATTCAGCCCTGTGGAGGCCTCTGCAGGAAGGAGGCCGGATAGTGAGGGAGTTCCTCACTGGGCCTGTGTGGCTAACTAGACAGAGTGGTGTTTGCTCCGGGAACCAGCCGTTTGGAGACCCATTTGCCGGATCCCCACAGGCTTGTGGGGCATCAGTAATGACAATGAGGTGCCGAGGCCCTGAGCTGCTGGCATTTCAAGTCCATTCTAAGATGCCGTAGAGCTGTGGGCTTTATTTGTCCTTTTCTTTGGGGGTTTGAGTAGCTGTTGTGCCCAGCACACCTGTGCTCTCTTATCAGCATTGAAGGATCATTTTATAGTGAAGGCTTACAGCAGTTGTATCTGCCTTTCTGACATTGTCTTGTCACATCTCTTGCTTAATTACTAAGATGTTCTATTGAAAACACCGTCTCCTTTGTAATGGTATACTTCTAGACAGAGTGACTGGGAGCACGTTCCTCTAAAGCGTGGCTGTCCTAGAAGGTTCTCCAGAAAGTTAATGAGCTCAGTTCACATATGAGCCGTGGGCAAGTGGTTATTTGCAAGGTGTGTCTAACAGAGGTCTGCTTGGTTCACGATGATGCCAGTGCTGAGTGGCCATGAGTGGTCACGATCGGGTGGCTACCTGCTTTTTCCTTTGCTTGGGCTGGATTATACATCTCCCCTCCCGTGTACATACATGTACATACATACTGTTCTCTGTTGTCTCTTCTCTTTTGGAAGCCACATTCTACTCATTGTTAGGATGGGTTCTGTGCTCTGGGAGCTGGACCCAGGAGTGAGTCCTAATGTTGATGGCTGGCTATCTTAAAAAAAAATCATATATAATAAAAGCCTAATATGCTAAGTGTCCGGTCGTCCGGTTGGCCATTCAATCAAAGTGTAATATGCTAATGATATGCTAAGGCTGCTCAGCCGCTTGCTATGACGTGCACTGACCACCAGGGGGTAGGTGCTCGGACAGGTAGGTTAGCTTGCTCTGGGGTGCGGTCAATCGGGACTGAGCGAGATGGGCGGACATGCCCTGGAGCCCTCCCGTGGTCTCTCCCCAGCTGATCAACCTCCCGCGTCCCTCCCCGGCCCCGATCGTGCACCGGTGGGATCCCTTGGCCTCCCCTGCACCCTCTCACAATCCAGGACCCCTCAGGGATGTTGGAGAGCCGGTTTCGGCCTGATCCTGCAGGCCAGGCCAAGGGACGCCACTGTGCACGAATTTGTGCACGGGGCTTCTAATATATATGTATATGTGTGTGTGTGTATATATATATATTTTTTTAATTTCCGGGAGGTGTCTGGGCACCAACCCTAGAGGGGTGACTGTCTTCTTAATGTGCAGAGCAGACTGTGTTAATCAGATAGAATTTTCTTAACCTTAAGGTTTTCTTGTACATTGCTAATTTAAAATTTGACATCTGTTGCTACAGTCTAGTATAAAGTGTCATCTACATTTTAGCACAAAACTGTTGCCTTGTTTTACTTGAGTTAGCATTTCAAACAGTTCCTCATAGTGATACCAAACTCAGGTTTGGTGCCTGCCACTTTGAAAGCCAATACTCAAAAGGCAGGGGCTGATGTAAGGAAGGATGGTCTATTCAAGTGCCAGCAGCGCTGAGAAGATGGTGACTCCGTCCCAACGACCATCTTA